GGCACTCACTCTAGCCTGGGCAACAAAGCAAGACTCTGTCTCAAAAAAAAAAAAAAAAAAATACCCCAGTTAGTGAATGTGATGGTTAATTTTATGTGTCAGTTTGGGCCATGGGGTGCCCAGGTATTTGGTCAAACGTTATTCTGCATGTGTCTGTGAGGGTGTTTTTGAATGAGGTTAACACTTTGTTTTTTAAATTCAGACAGGGTCTCACTCTGTTTCCCAGGCTAGAGTGCAGTGGCACAATCATAGCTCTCTGCAACCTCAAACTCCAGGGCTTAGGTGATCCTCCTGCCTCAGCCTCCCAAGTAGCTGGGACTATAGGTGAACACCACCATGCCCAGCCATTTATTTTATTTTATCTTATTTTGGGTAGGGACAGTGTCTCCCTATTGCCTAGGCTGGTCTCCAACTCCTGGGCTCAAGTGATCCTCCCACCTCAGCCTCCCAAAGTGCTAGGATTAGAGGCATGAGCCACCACATCTGACCCCTAAATTAACATTTAAATCGGTAGACTAATTAGTGGTGCAGGCCTGCAATTCTAGCTACTCAAGAGGCTGAGGCAAGAGAATCACTTAAGCCCAGGAGTTCAAGATGGCAGTGAGCTATGATCACGCCACTGCTCTCCAGCCAGGGCAACAGAGTGAGACCCCGTCAAGAAGAAGGAGAAGAAGAAGGAGAAATTAGTAGACTGAATAAAGCAAATTGCCCTCCTTAATGTGGGTGGGCCTTATTCAATCAGTTGAAGGCTTGACTAGAACAGAACAGCTGACCCTTCCTCCAATAAAAGAGAACTCCTTCTGCCCAGCTGCTTTTGAACCAGGACATCAGGTTCTTCTTGCCTTTGGACTTGAGTACTTGAATGGAAACATATATTCCTTCTTGGGTCTCCAGCTCACCAACTCACCCTGCAGATCTTGAGACTTGTCAGCCTCCACAATCAGGTGAGCTGATTCCTTATTATCTATCTGTTTATCTATCTATCTGTCCATCCATCTATTCATCCTGTTGGTTCTGTTTCTCCAGAAAACTCTTGACTACTACAATAGACATACACAGATGTTATCTAATTAAAAAAAATACTCCCAAGCACCTACCACTTCTTTGGCAAGAAAATCTCCTTTTAAAAGGCTTGGCTATGCAGAATTCATACAGGATCATGGATTTTTATTGACTAGAGAGAAATCAAATTCAATGTTGAAAAAATTCCTATGATGAGATACTAAATTTCTCGAAGAGAGGCATTATGCTAGTTTTGCTTTACAGTTTCATTGCTTTTTGTTTTTGTTTTATTATAGGATTAATTTTCATTATTTTCTTTTCCTTTTTTTCCTCACTGGATGTAATGAGAATGCTTTACAGTTTTAATACAGTGAATAGCATGACAGAAATTATAATTTTTTAATGGAAAAACATTATTTGATAGTGATGGTAAGAATAATGATAATCCAACGAGTAAGATGTGCAACATTTGGGTGATGGACATGCTTGAAGCTCTTACTTGAGGGGGGAGAGGGGCATGGGCAATATAAGTAACCTTAACACTTGTACCCCCATAATATGCTAAAAAAAAAAAAAGAATAAAACAAACCTCAAACTAACAACAACAACAACAAAGAATAATGATAATCAAGCCAGGCGAGGTGGCTCACACTTGTAATCCTTGAAGCCAGAAATTCAAAACCAGCCTGGGCAACATAGTAAGAACCCCCATCTCTAAAAAACTACAGAAAATTCTCTGGGTGTGGTGGTATGTGCCTGTAGTCCCAGCTACTGGGGAGACTAAGGCAGGAGGGCCAACCAAGCCCAGGATCATTGAGCCCAAGAGTTTAAGGTTGCAGTGAGTTGTGATGACACCACTGCCCTCTAGCCTGGGTGATAGAGGGAGACCCTATCTGGAAAAAAAGAAGAAAAAAAAAAAGATAATCAATGTAGCTTTGTAAACAAGTGTTGTCATGATAACGCAAAAAAGGTGAAAACTAGGGCAATTAGGAGTAATAGAATTTATTGGTGGAAGTCCACCTAGAGAGAAGCTCCTTTTGCTGTAATCTCTTGCTGAGATTACAAAGGGGTGGTCTTCCACATTCAGCACTGACTGTGGGTCCAGCTTTTGATCTCTGCCCTGCACTTCTACCCCAGTCTTCTTTACTGCCCTCTCATGGTCCTGAACAGCAGCCTTTTATACCTCTCAACTCCACCTCACCTTTGTCCTATTTTCTTCTATCCAATAAAGGAAGGAGGGTGGAACTGTGTCTTCCCTGGCATCTTGGGGCTTGCTTTAGGCCCCGTCCCCCACACCATCCACCACCTGGTGTGGACTACACAGCTCCTACCCAGTCACAGTTTTTCCATCCCAGGAGCTGACCTCATTGTTCCTGGGGCCGGAGCCATCTATAAGGCAACACTTGCCAATTTGGGAGTTTATGGCAGTTTTGTATTTGTGGCACAGGAGAGGCAGCCTGTCCCATTGTCTTTTGTCTTAATGAAGGTATTAACAACCACTTTTTCTCTCCTCTGAGCATGAAACATAGCTGAAAACACAGAAGTGTGACTTGCATGTCACACATGGATATATGTTGACTAGTTTAGGAGCCTTGCTGTTGTTTATGAAAATTGCCAGTACACAGAGCTGCTTCTGGTTTTTGCAGACCAGCATGACATTTGGCTCATGTAAGCCTCTGTCATGGGTTGCCACACAAACATTTTCTGGTGATGTCATTTCCTGGCAATGAACAATTATTCCATATTGCCTCAGGATGCTCTCACAGTGTCCCTCTTGTGGTGGCTGAACCAGTCCTCAAAAAGCAAATGTATGGCTACAGCATTCTTTTGGGGAACATGGGCAGGAACAAAGCCAGTGTGATTTATTGGAAAGTACACCAAATACCAAATATGGTCCTAGGAGCAGGGCTGCAAGACTACATTATTTTGACAATAGAGGAACTGGGCTGCCCCTCCACTCACCATTTATTTGTCATGATTGTACACATGCCTTCCTGTCCTTCCCTGACGCCATGAGGTAGGGAAGGTGGCAGCAGTTGGCTCTTCTTTTCCATAATCACTGACCAGCCTGGCCACATAGTTCCTTCTACTGGATATCACCACACACCCTCAGTAACCCAGCTAATCAGCTGTTTTTTTTCCTACCATGTGCACTGAGTTCTTGGCCATAGTCCTAACTTCAGGTGCCTCAATTTCCCCATTGTTTAAATGAATTTAATAGTGAGCAATCTAGGTTGAATTCTGCATCCTTGGGATAGAATGTTATATTGGCACAAACTATGTTTCTTCTAATATAGACTGGGAAGAATTAATTTGATTTAATACCTTAGTAATTCATCAACTATCTAAATAATATTTACTTATTGTCTACTCTGTAAAGGACCATGGTACTAAGTGCTCATTGCAAAGGTTTAACAACAGATTATAGATTGCTCAGGAAATTTGTGTCGTTGAAAAGCTAATAATGATATTTATTTTATATTTTAAATGACAAATGCCTATACAATGCTTGGGACTTTTTAAATAATAGGAATTTAAATGCAACAGAGAGATAAAAAGTGAGAAATTCCATTCAAAATTCACGTTTTGAGAGGACTAGAAATAATGTTAGTAATTAATGATGTGGACTTTCCTTATTAGAAAGTACTAATTAATCTTACAGGATACAAAGCATTATCCCGACACAAAAATATTATGTAGATCTAAACTGATCTTTTTATGGTTACTTGTAGTGGAGGAAGACTTCAGACCTTTGAAATAGTTATTTTTGATGCCTGGAAAGAAAAAAAATCACGAATAAAGAAGAGACTTAGGGCTTAGGTCTCTAGATTACTTGTTCAGGAACCCTGAGGACAGAGATCTGGAGAGATTATAGAGGACCTTGATGTTTCTGGAGTTTGTGCTGATTACATATACCTGGTGAGACACCCTCACACCTAGGGTCACTGTGACACCACCTTTGCAAAATAGTGCTTTCTAGGCACAACATATCATTATTTTTTGTAATTTTCCTTCATCTACTTGAATCCCAATGGAGGTCCTTTCTCTCTCTTTCCCTCCTGTGTGAAATAAAGACAACAGAATCTCCAATTTCACAGGCCTTGAAATTCTATTTTTGCTTACAATGCCACAGTTAAATGATTTCTGAATTTTTTGTTGCTTTCACCTAAGCAAGGAGTTTCAATTACCAAGCATCTTAACAACAGAGACTGCGACTCTGTGGGCCAATACATTTGTGTTTAGGAGGCACAGATATCTGATAACCCAACTGTCTTCACGCTAGTGGCTTTCAAATTGTTCGGCATTTTAGAAATATCATCTCAGCATATTAAATATTAAGGGACTTCTTCAGATTCCCCAAGCCTAAAGTTATGTCATGCAAATCTGCCCAAATGGGTTTCCATGGTGCAGAATAAAAGTTATAGGAGGGTTTTTTGAAGCAGCATGACTATAAACATCACTCCTGCTACTGCCTTTCACAAGGGCCCACTTGCTGTGAAATATTTTGAAAACAGAGCCGAAGTGGAGATAACGCAGAGCGCAAACAGGCTGAAATAAGACTAAACCGAGCGTGGCTGGCAGGAAGCTGTTTCTGGAGAGGAAGAGAACGCTCTATAAACCTAGGGGAAAACCACGCGGGCGTTGTTTGCGGACCTCCTAGGGTCGTTTCCCCTTGCCCGTCAGGTGGGGGGGCTCCCCCGGGCGCAGGAAGCGGCCCTCAAAAACATCGCTTCCGGGACTGCAGCTTCTCTCTTCACACCCCCAGGGAGCAGCGTTCTCAGGCCACGATTCTCCGCGACCCAAAAATAACCGCACAGATGTAAGGGAAAAGGGCCAAAGCTTGCGGCACAGGGCGGTGCTCAGTTACAGCCTTATCGCTCACAGCCAGGACGCCCGAAACCTAACCCACCGCCAGCCTTTTATAGCCAGTCCCTCGAGCCCCGCCCTAGCAACCTCTCCTAGCAACACCTCGCCCGGGCGCTCTCGGTCTTATCGGCCTCAGCCAGGCCTTTCCTGTTTCCCTCCCCCTCGCGAGCGCCTCCGCCAGGCTTGTTCACGTGACCGGCCCAGGGGAGGGGCGGGGCTCACAGAAGCGTGAGGGGAGGGGCGCTGGAAGACGTAGTAGCGTCATCGAGAGGCGTCGGGCTAGTTGTGGGGCTTAGTGTTTCAGGGAGTCTCGAGGTTCAGGGGCGAGGCGAGATGGCGGAGGCCGCGGCGCTTGTGTGGATTCGGGGCCCCGGCTTCGGGTGCAGGGCTGTGCGGTGCGCCTCGGCTCGGTGCTCCGTCCGGGATTTTATCCATCGACACTGCCAAGATCAGGTGAGGATCGCGGCTACTGTTAGGAAGATGAAAAAGGCAGACACGGGGAAGGGCTGAACGGGGAGTGGGTCTGTCGAAGGTACGTCTATTCTCTGGGGTTTTTAGTTCTTGAAGCTGAGAGTTCCCCAGTTTTAAGGTGCTTCAAACTGACACTGAGACATTTGCTTTGTTTCGTGGTGGTAGTGGTTCTATCTCACTTCGGTTACAGGCGCTCAGTCCAGCCCTCAGTTACAAACACGTTGTTTCTATTTCTTTATTCGTAAATAGTCAGTTGGGCCAGATGACTTTTAAGGCTCAAGTCCTTTCTTACTGTGGTTGTGTGACGTGCATTTTGTTCACTGATCGCTCAGCCTTGTTACCTCCAACCTACAGAAGTATGTCACATACAAACCAAGGCCAAAGGACGGTTGGGGAGGGAAGTGGATTGGGGCCAAGCATTCACAGATGTGTCCTGTTGAGGGCATGAGTTCTTAGGGCCTGTTATTTAGATGTTTTCACCCATTATTTGATTATCTCCTTCGTCCATGCATATTTTTGAAAACCTATCGGGGACTTTTTAAAGTTACTTGTGTGCTTTTACTTAATTACCAAATAAGCAACCTTTTACCAACTCTGACATAGTAAACCTGTTCAGTTGTCTGAAGAATTCAGTGGTCTCCCTGAATCTGATTTTAATTTTGGCACTTGATCTAGAGCTGTTTTGTCTGTTTTTCTTTTTTTTAAAGTCGCTGTCATATTCAGTCAGGATGGAACTCTGTTTTTCTTTTTAAATACACCTCATCCTTGCTTTCCTTAGTTGTTACCTCTACTTACTATTTATAAGCTTAACAAAGTTGACATTGCAGTGTAAACCATATTTTTAAAAGACTTGGGCTAGTTCCATGAAGAAGCAATGTATATTTGGAAATAATGTGGTTTTTCACCTTTCCCATTTTTCTTCCTGCTCTGTAATACAGTCTAAAAATTGTCAGCAGAACTGTTTTGACCATTTGAATCAGTATTTTCCAAAATGCTTGCTTTTTAATATCTTTGAAAATAGCTCTTATCTCATTAGTACAGTTTTCAAACTCAATGATCCAGTGTGAGGCCAGAAAAAAATAGGATCTTAGGCCGGGCGCGGTGGCTCACGCCTGTAATCCTAGCACTCTGGGAGGCCAAGGCGGGCGGATTGCTCGAGGTCAGGAGTTCAAAACCAGCCTGAGCAAGAGTGAGACCCCGTCTCTACTATAAATAGAAAAAAATTAATTGGACAACTAAAATATATATAATAAATTAGCCGGGCATGGTGGCGCAGGCCTGTAGTCCCAGCTACTCAGGAGGCTGAGGCAGGATTGCTTGAGCCCAGGAATTTGAGGTTGCTGTGACCTAGGCTGACACCACGGCACTCACTCTAGCCTGGTCAACAAAGCGAGACTGTCTCCAAAAAAAAAAAAAGGATCTTAACTATGAGGAATGTTGGAAGTAAGAATTTTTAAATAAGAAGCAAGACATATGAATGAATGGATTCAGGCAGGTACTTAAGAAACATGACCATAGCAAATATGAATAAACACAAAGCTTATAGAAGGGCATTTGATGAGATACTAGAACAAATAAAAATAACTCAAGTTCACACCTGTGCTTTTAAAAACCAAAACTATTTTGATATATTTCTCATCTGGATTATGACAAGTAGTTTCTCACTGATTTCTCTGACTCTATAGTCTCATTTTCAACTCAACAGCTAAAGTGATCCTTTAAAAACATAATTAGATATCTCATTTTGTTTAAAACCCTACAATAATTCTATTCAGAATAAAATCAAAAGACCTTACAATGGCTTTTAAGGCCTTATCATTCTGTGTACTTACTTCATTCAGCCACTTTGGCTGTTTTGTTGTTCCTTAAATAAGCTTATTTCTGCTTCAAGTCTTTGCATTTGCTGTTGTCACTGTCTGGAATGCTATTCCTCTAGATAGACACACAGCTTGTTTCCTCACTTTGTTTAATTCTCTGCTTAAATGTAACTTGATCAGAGAGGCTTTCCTTGACTAGCTATATAAAATAGATCACCACCACACCTGTCCACATGTCCTGTCCCCTTTACCTTGCTTACCACCACTTGACATAATATATAATGTGTTCATTATTTGTCTTCCCTCACTGGAAAGTAAGTCCCATGAAGGGAAAGTTTTTGTTTTATTCACTGTAGTATCCCTGCACCTGAAAAGTACCTGGTAAATAGTAGGCACTTAAAATTTGTTGGATGAATGAGGTCCTTTTGAAATAACCATGTGATATGGTTCAGAATAAATTGTTCATAGTTTCTGCTTCGGGAAGATACCAATAATGCATTTGTCCTTCACCATTGGTGTTTCGGTCTCTTCATTCCTGATATTATAGATTCAGTTGTGTACCTCCTAGTTCTATATAACTTTGAAAAATACGCCTCTATTTTACTTTATAGCATCAGGAGCTTGTTTAGAAAGATTTGCAGGGTTTTTTTCTTTTTAATCCAACTGTCACATAACTAGGTGAAGAGGATATGTTTTCTTTTCATTACTGGATCTGAGAAATTTTGAAATGTACAGAGTACTTTTGGAGGTCCTCAACTTTTGCAATGATTGGCTGTAAGTCAGGGGGATGCTAGCAGATGAGACGAGCACTGGCTGCCAGCTGGTCCTAAAAAGGTTCAAGCTTACGTAGGAATATAAAAACCATATTCTTGTCTCCTTCCTTCTGCACTTATTCCTACCTGCACTTTTCAGGATGTATATTGTCAATTTTAAATTTGAGGACTATTTTTGATATTCAACTTGATTTTACCTGTTTAGAAAAGTCAGGAAATGAGACCTCCAGAGGTATTGGATCTGAGTCCTCCATAGTCTTCTGCTTTGACTCAGATTACATATTAGAGAAAGAGAAAGAAGTGATTTTTATTTTCATCAAAAAGACTGAAGCGGGCCAAGGTGGGAGGATTGCTTGAGGTCAGGAGTATGAGGTTGCAGTGAGCTATGATGATGCCTCTGCATTTTAGTCAGGGTGACAGAGTGAGACTGTCTCCCCCTCCCCCCCAAAAAAAGACTGAAGTTTCTTCTATATATTATGATTAGGAAATATTAGGAAAAAAATATACCCAGAATACATCATATTAAATGACTTTTTTCCTTTAGTAGTTTACATTTTCAACTCAACAAATGTTAATTGAACTATCTGCATGTAATGAGAGTAATCAAAAGATGAGCTAGGTTCCTTCCTGTAAGGAACTTGTATTGTCTCATACAAGGCATTAAAAAACCCAAACTTGTCTCTAGGATGTTCCAGTGGAATACTTCTTTGTGAAGTGCAATGGAGCACTCATTAACAACAGTGACACGGTGCAGCATGGAGCTGTTTATAGTTTGGAACCCAAACTTCTTGGTGGGAAAGGAGGTAAGACATGAAAGTTGACTACTTAGTTGTAGCACATTTGTAGTCTTTAGCCATAAGTATTAATAAAGTCCTTGGTCTCTGTAGTATGTCAGTCTTGTTTTGTCTTATGAAATTCTTTATGTACTTACCTAATTTTGAATATTTTCTCTTTTATTCTTAGTGAAGGAGAAATATATGATACAGGCTCAGGCGTGGTGGCTCACGCCTGTAATCCTAGCACTCTAGGAAGCTGATACAGGAGGATCGCTTGAGGGCAGGAGTTTGAGACCAGCCTGACCAAGCTGATACAGGAGGATCGCTTGAGGGCAGGAGTTTGAGACCAGCCTGACCCTGTCTCTACTAAAAATTTAAAAAATTAGCTGGCCAACTAAAACTGGAAACAAAAAATTAGCTGAGCATGATGGCGAGCGTCTATAGTCCCAGCTTGGGAGGCTGAAGCAGGAGGATCACTGGAACCCAGGAGTTTGAGGTTGCTGTGAGATAGGCTGACGCCATGGCACTCTAGCCTGGGTGACAGAGAGAGACTCTGTCAAAAAAAAAAAAAAAAAAGGAAAGAAATATATGATATAGTTTTTACCTTCTCCAACCAGAGCCTTAGGAAACCTAGGCTCTAAAACTTTGAGAGATTCCCTAGCAAGCAGACGCAGATGGAAATTTAAAAAATATATTTAAAAAAATAAAACTTTGATGGAGGTTAGATGAAGAAAAATGACCATTCTGTCCAATTTACTAAATAAAGTGTTTTTCTTTAAGTCTCTCGCTTTTATCAAAATTTTGTCTTGTGTTATAATTCAAGGGAAGTCTAAAGTCACCTTAAGAATATGAACAGTTCTTGGTATTTCTCCTGGTGTACTAACATGCAATCCATAGGCTTTCTCAAAATCCATAGTGATTTGGTTTTGTTATCTGAAAGCTGATATCTCAGAGTATAATCATCCTCTGTTTGAAACTATCAAGAAGCATGTTATATCCGCAAGTGACAGCTTAAAATTGCCTTTCCTTTTAAACTCATTGAAAGCTTCTCACCATATAATTTTTTTTTCTGTTTTATCTCGCAGGCTAGAGAGCAGTGACATCATTATAGCTCACAGCAACCTCAAACTCCTGGGCTCAGGTGATCCTTCCACTTCAGCCCCAAGGAGCTGGGACTATAGGCACGTGCCACGCCCAGCTAATTTTTTCTATTTTTGTTAGAGAAGTCTTGCTCTTCTTAGGCTGGCCTCCAACTCCTGAGCTCAAGCAGTCCTCCCACCTCTGTCTGCTAGAGTGCTAGGATTACAGTCATGAGCCTCTGTGCCCAGCCTACCATATAATTTTAAGTTCTTAATCTGGGAATCTTAGGATCTCTGGCATTGCATAAAGCCCTTTCCCAGCTATCCAGGCATGATATTTCTGAAATATAAAATGAAGGGTGACGCCGGGCTCGGTGGCTCACGCCTGTAATCCTAACACTCTGGGAGACCGAGGTGGGAGGATGGCTCAAGGTCAGGAGTTCAAAACCAGCCTGAGCAAGAGTGAGACCCCTCTCTACTAAAAAAAATAGAAATAAATTTATTGGACAACTAAAAATATGGAAAAAATTAGCCAGGCATGGTGGCACATGCTTGTAGTCCCAGCTACTCGGGAGGCTGAGGCAGGAGGATCGCTTGAGCCCAGGAGTTTGTGGTTGCTGTGAGCTAGGCTAATGCCACGGCATTCTAGCCTAGGTGACAGAGTAAGACTCTGTCTCAAAAAAAATAATAAATAAATAAAATCAAGGGCGAAAGGTATGAGGTTGAATCAGTCTTTTTACCTTTGCTGCCTGGGTTAGAAGCTTGATGTCCATCTCCTTTAAAAAAATTAAGTAGAGGTCACTGTTAATCTTGTGACTGTATTCACAAATTCAGCTTTTGTTTATCCTTAAGCACATTTTAACCTGCTTTCTCCAAATATATCTGCTCAGGTTTTGGGTCTATGCTCCGAGCACTTGGTGCTCAGATTGAGAAGACAACTAATCGAGAAGCTTGCCGGGATCTCAGTGGAAGGAGACTACGAGATGTCAATCATGAAAAAGCGTAAGATGCCCACCTTTTTTTGTTTTTCTTTTTGAGATATACTTTCTTATCAGTAGTGATTATGCAGATACCATGGGTATTGGAAATGTAAACTGAAAATATTTATGCTCTAATTTATTGTTATCAGACTTAACCTTTTCCATAATTTAATAATTATCTTTGGGATTAAGTTACTGTATGCTACTAGTAAGCATGGCTCACCTTTCTGAGAATATCACAATATGAACAAGGGTGTGTTAATTTGTCAGGGGGCATTTTATATATAAAAGCATATGTATATAAAATATATCCATTCAGTTTTATCTCTTCTTGTCTCATCCTCAGAATGGCTGAATGGGTAAAACAACAAGCAGAGCGAGAGGCCGAAAAGGAGCAAAAACGGCTGGAGCGACTGCAGCGGAAGCTTGCGGAGCCCAAGCACTGCTTCGCCAGCCCCGATTACCAGCAGCAGTGCCACGAGATGGCCGAGCGCCTGGAGGATTCTGTCCTCAAAGGTAAGAGTGAGGATTCCTTAGTGTCAGCAGCAGGCAATGTGTAAAGCCAGCTGTTCCAGACTGCTCCACACTACACACAAAGAGTAGTTCTTAAGCTTTTGGGGGCAGTGATAGACATCCAAGAATCTAATGGAAGCCTTGGAACGTCTCCCCTCAAAGATGAACACAGTGTTTTTTTTAAAAAAGAACACATACCTACACAACATTTGGCATACTTAAGCCCTGTATTCCATGGGACTGTGGGCTCCAGGTAAGAACAGTTTTTGTGTTTTTGTTTAGGAATAATCTAAGTCTTTAGGAAATGTCTAGACCTCAAATATTTGCTTCCAGTTTTAGGTCATTGTTTTTAAAAATGTTTTTTTTTCCCCTGGTTGTAGTTTTCTTTTTTTTCTGGCATATTATGGGGGTACAGATTTTAAGGTTTCAATAAATGCCCATTCCCCCCCTCCCCCCACAAGTCTGAGTCTCCAGCATGACCATTCCCCAGATGGTGCACATCTCACTCATTATGTATGTATATACCCGGAGTGAAGAAATCAGCGAGGAACTCAGGAAATGATGAAGAACAAACGGAAAACACACCCCAAAGAGGAGCACTAGCCCCACTGAAACGGACATCAACCCAAACAGGCAACCAAAATGACAGAAGATGATTTCGTATGTTGGATCATAAGAAAACTCCACCGACCTGCAAGAACAATCAATAACCAACACAAACCACAATGCTCCAGACTGACAAAGTTCACTAAAAAAGAAAATAAGACACAATGAAGAAAGTTGAACTGAACTCCTGGAATGAAGGAAATCAATTCAGGGAACTACAAAACAGTGGAAAGTCTCAAGAACAGGGTAGAATCAAACAGAAGAAAGAATCTCAGAGATTGAAGAAACACCCTCCAACTAATAAAACAGTCACAGAGTAGAGCAAGAGAAATAAGAGAAAAGAGCAAAGCCTACAGAGATGTGGATTTGTGAGAACCTAATGTGAGGGTCAACGAGGGTACCAGAAGGGAAGAGACAACACTCAGGGTTGGACAGACATTTGAAGATATAATAGAAAAAATTCCCAGCTTGCTAAAAGTGCAAAGCGGGCGCACCCCTGGGAAATTCACGCAAACACGGAAGACGTCACAACATGCAGTCATCAGATGACCATAATAGTCAACTAAAAGACCTCTAAGATGGCCATAAGACGAAAGAGCAAAGTAACATACAAGGAAAGTCAATTGAACAACGCCAGACTTTCTAACTGAGACTTTACAGGGCAGAAAGACTGGGGCCCCATTCTCCTCTTCTGAACAGAACAAGCTCAGCCTAAGAATCTTAATTCCCTGCAAAAACTACCTTGCATATATGAAGGAGAAATAGACACTTTCAGACAAGCAAATGTCTAGAGAAATTACCAGACAAGACTAGCCTAAGAATAATTCAAAAACAGTGTTACGCAACGGGAACAACCATATAAACTCACGATATAAATACCTAAAACCCAAAGATTAAGGCCAGATAATACAACGGCTTTCAAGAGAGATCAAAAGCAACAACCATCCACCCAGATCCGAATGACAATAACCTTACTTACCTATCAGTCTCTCAAAATAAATGTGAATGGCTTAAACTCTCCATCAAGAAGACAGTGAAGGCTGGCTGGATGGATAAGAAAATACAGGCCAGTATATGCTTCTTCCAGGAAAATA